ATTTTTATAGCATAACATGGACAGCGTTATTGTAAGTTGAATATACTGATTCCTTAAGTTTATATTACCGTATATTCCGGCATATAAGACGACTGGGCGTATAAGACGACCCCCAACTTTTCCAGTTAAAATATAGAGTTTGGGATATACTCGCCGTATAAGACCACCCCTCTTCCAATGCACACCAAATAAAAAAAATTAAAAATCAGATTTGAATTCAATATGGTAATTTTAATTCAAATGCTTATGACATGCAGGTTCCTATGAGAGGGACATTGTACCTTACATTGTACATTACAGTTGCTCTTTCTCCCTTGAATTTCATTTACACTCTGGGTCCTTTACATCATGCTGGCAATAAGTTAAAATAAACTGTTGCATGAAATAATTCTCATTTAAAGCAATTATAAAAACCAGCCAAGGTAAAGTGTCATATCAGTTCCCTTTTGCCTTTTCTCAGGCTTCTCCTATTGACACAGCCTAAAACAGCATTGGCCTTTTTAGCTGCAGCATCATACTACTGGCTCATGTTCGACAAAGATTCCTTTCACAGAATCCTAAAGTTGGGAGGGACCTCTAAAGGCCATTTAGTCCAACCCCCTTCATTCTGCCTTCTTGCGGGGAAAGCACAATCAAAGCACTCTCGACAAATGGCTATCTAGTCTTATTAATATTAATAATGGCGTTGGAAGGGAGCTCTAAAGGCCATCTAGTCCAACCCCCTTCATTCTGCCTTCATACAGGGAAAGCACACTCAAAGCAGCCCTGACAGATGGCCACCTTCATAGAATCCTAAAGTTGGGAGGGACCTCTAAAGGCCATTTAGTCCAACCCCCTTCATTCTGCCTTCTTGCGGGGAAAGCACAATCAAAGCACTCTCGACAAATGGCTATCTAGTCTTATTAATATTAATAATGGCGTTGGAAGGGAGCTCTAAAGGCCATCTAGTCCAACCCCCTTCATTCTGCCTTCATACAGGGAAAGCACACTCAAAGCAGCCCTGACAGATGGCCACCCAGCCTCAATAACAACAACAATAACATTAATACTAATAAAAGTTGGAAGATATCCTTTAGGCCAGTGGTTCTCAACCTTTCTAATGCCGTGACCCTTAAATAAAGTTCCTCATGTTGTTGTGACCCCCAACCACATTTTCGTTGCTACTTCATAACAGTAATTTTGCTACTGTTATGAAATGTAATGTAAATGTCTGATATGAAGGATGTATTTTCATTGTTACAAATTTAACATAATTAAATCATAGTGATTAATCACAAAAACAATATGTTTGGGGAGTATGGACAATGGATGATGGGATTTGCAGTACTTTCAACCAATTCAGCTCTAACTTCCGCAGACCACTGAGATCCCCCACACAAAATACAGACCAATAGAAAATACTGGAGGGGATTGGGAGGAATTGATAGTGAATTATGGGAGAGGTAGTTCACCTACATCCAGAGAGCACTGTGAACCCAAACTACTATGGATCTGGACAGAACTTGGCACAAATACTCAGTATGCCCAAATCTGAAGACTGGTGGAGTTTGGGGAAAATAGACCTTGGCATTTGGGAGTTGTTGGGATGTATAGTTCCCCAGCCATCAAAGAGCATTCTGAACTCCAACAATTAAATTGGACCAAACTTGGCCTGCAGGACTCTCACGACCAACAGAAAACACTGGAGAGATTTTGGGAAAATAGACCTTGGCATTTGGGACTTGGGGTGTTTAGTTCCCCAGCCATCAAAGAGCATTCTGAAATCCAACCACAATTAAATTGGACCAAACTTGAGTTGTGTGGAAGGGGACTGGGTTATCTGAGGCCCCTTCCATACAGCTGCATAAAATACACATTGAAGTGGATTATCTGGCTGTGTGGACTCAGATAATCCAGTTCAAAGCAGACAATGTGGGATTTCATTCAGCTGTGTGGAAGGGACCTGGGTTCTCTGGGTCCCCTTCCATACAGCTGCATAAAATACACACTGAAGTGGATTATCTGGCTGTGTGGACTCAGATAGTCCAGTTCAAAGCAGATAATGTGGGATTTCATTCAGCTGTGTGGAAGGGGACTGGGTTCTCTGGGTCCCTGTTCCTTCGCTCTTTCGCTTGCCTTGCAACCTCTTCTCTTCCCTTCAGTCTCCTCTCACGCTGTTGCTTTCCCCATTCACCTCGCGCGGAGGCCATTGGCGAGAGAGCGGGGCAGGCGAAGGGCCAGACGCTCCATTGGCCCAGGGAGGAAAGAGGCAGCGTGAGGAAGGAGGTCGGAGGGCAGGCCGCTGCGGGCGGATGTTCTCCTCCGCTGCCTCGGCTCCACTGCCATTCGTCATCTAATATGTCCGGAAGACAAGACGACCCCCAAGTTTTCAAAGGATTTTAAAGGTTTAAAAAGTCGTCTATTACCCCGGTTTTTACGGTATCTATCTATCTATCTATCTATCTATCTATCTATCTATCTATCATCCATCCATCCATCCATCCATCCATCCATCCATCCATCCATCCATCCATCTTATCATCTCTATCTATCATCCATCCATCCATCCATCCATCCATCCATCCATCCATCCATCCATCCAATCATCTATAACTACCTATGTATCCATCCATCCAATCATCCATCTATTGATCAATCTATCTATCATCTATCCATCTATCCATCCATCCATCCATCCATCCATCCATCCATCCATCCATCCATCATCCTATCTTTCTATCTCCAAATATCTATCTATCCATCCAAATATCTATCCATCCATCTATCTCTCCATCCATCTATCTCTCCATCCATCCATCCAGCCATCCAAATATCTATCCATCCATCCTTTAGTATCTATCCATCCAATCATCCATCTATTGATCAATCTATCTATCATCTATCCATCCATCCATCCATCCATCCATCCAATCATCTATCAAGCTATCTAGTTATCTATCATCTTTCCATCCATTCTTCCATCCAATCATCCATCCATCTATCTATTGATCTTTCTATCATCTATCCATCCATCCAGTCATATCTATCTATCCATCCATCCATCCAATCCATCCATCCATCCAATCATCTATCTACCTATCATCCATCCATCCACCCAATCATCCATCCATCCATCCATCCATCCAATCATCTATCTACCTATCATCCATCCATCCACCCAATCATCCATCCATCCATCCATCCATCAATCAATCATCCATCTATTGATCTGTCTGTCTGTCTGTCCGTCTATCAATCATCTATCCATCCAGGCTGTATGACAATCTGTTTGTCATGCTTGTATTGAGTTGTCCTCCTTGGAAGAATGAGGTTGGAATGGATGACCTTTGGGGAACCCTTCCATGCCTAGGATTCTATAAGCAGAGGCTGTATGGCCATCTGTTGAGAATGCTTGCATTGTCCCTTCATGCCTGGCAGAAGGGGGTTGGACCGGATGACCTTTAGTGAGACCCTTCCATGTCCAGAAATTCCATGTCTAGGATTCTCTAAACAGAAGCTGTATGGGAGTGCTTGCACTGAGTTGTTCTCAAATGAGGTTGGATTGGATGACCTTTGGGGAACTCTTCCAAGTCCAGAAATTTAGGATTGTATGAACAGAGGCTGTATGGCCATCTGTCGGGAGTGCTTGCATTGAGTCATCCTCCTGGCAGAATGAGGTTGGATTGGATGACCTTTAGGGATCCCTTCTATGTTTAGGATTCTCTAAACAGAAGATGTATGGCTATCTGTCGGGAGTGCTTGGATGGTGTCTTCCTGCCTGGCAGAATGGGGTTGGACTGGATGGCCCTTGGGGTCCCTCTCTCTGACCCTCTGGCACTGCTTGACCCCTGGGCCTTGGGTTGAGGGCTATGGGTCACTCCACCCATCCTCCTCCTTGTCCTCTGTGGCAGGCGAGACTCCCCTTGTCCAGCCCCTCCCTCATTGGGCCGGAGAGGGGCGGGCCCTTCCTTGACAGGAGGCGGAGCCGTGCCAAAGGGTATAAAGGCCCTGCCAGACCCCCTTGGGGTTCATTTCTGCCTTGTCCCCCGCCGAGAGCAAAGCCCAGCTTGACCACTTCTGCCACCATGGTGCACTGGACCGCCGAGGAGAAGCAGCTCATCACCAGCCTTTGGGCCAAAGTGGACGTGGCCGCCATCGGGGGAGAATCCCTGGCCGGGTAAACCACTCACCGGGCAGCGGGAGGGGTGGGACCTTGTTTTGTTGGGGGGGGGACCAAAGTGACCCCTGCTTTGACCCCCCCGACCTTGACCGTTCCCCTCTTCTTCTCCTTCCCCTGCAGTATGATGTGCGTCTACCCCTGGACCCAGAGGTTCTTCCCCGACTTTGGGAACCTGTCCAGCTCCACCGCCATCTGTGCCAACCCTAAGGTCAAGGCCCACGGCAAGAAGGTGCTGACCGCCTTCGGGCGAGGCGGTCAAGAACCTGGACAACATCAAGGAAACCTTCGCCAAGCTGAGCGAGCTGCACTGCGAGAAGCTCCACGTGGACCCCGAGAACTTCAAGGTAGGAGGAACGAAAGCGCAACCCAGTCAGCGGGGCAAAGCCAGGGTGCGGTCACTCCCGAGGGCCAGGAGTGACCACATTGTGCCAGGAGTAACCACATATGTCAGGACTGACCACATAGTGTCAGGAATGAGTACATTGTGCTAGGAGTAACCACATGGTGTCAGCAGTGACCACATGATGTCAGCAGTGACCACATATGTCAGGAGTGACCGCATGGTGTCTGGGGTGACCGTATAGTGTATGGAATGACTGCACAGTGTCTGGAGTAACCATGTAATGCCAGGAGTGACCGTATGGTGTCAGGAGTGACCACATAGTGTCAAGAGTGACTGCATATGTCAGGAGTGACCGCATGGTGTCTACAGTGACCATGTCATGCTGGAGTGACCACAAGGTGCCAGGAGTGACCGCACAGTGTCTGCAGTGACCATGTAGTGCCGGAGTGACCGCATAGTGTCAACAGTGACCGCATAGTGTCAGGAGTGACTGCATATGTCAAAAGTGACCACATGGTGCCAGGAGTGACCACATTGTGCTAGGAGTGACCACGTGGTGTCTGGAGTGACTGCATTGTGCCAGGAGTGACTGCATGGTGTCTGGAGTGACCACATGGAGTGACCACATAGTGTCAGGAGTGACCGTATTGCACCAAGAGTGACCACATAGTGCCAGGAGTGAACACATACTTTCAGGAGTGACTGCATGGTGTCTGGAGTGACCGCATGGTATTGGGAGTGACTGCATAGTGTCAAGAGTAACCACATAGTGCCAGGAGTGATCGCATTGTGTCAGGAGTGACTGCATGGTGCCAGGAGTGACCGCATTGTGCCAGGGATGAACACATAGTGTCAGGAGTGACCGCATTGTGCCGGGGATGACCACATAGTGCCAGGAGTGACCATGGAAGGGGCCTCAAAGGCCATCTAGTACAACCCCTGGCTCTCCATATGGACTGGATGGCCTTTATGTCCTCTTCCAGCTGTACTATAAATACATTGGGGTCAAGAGGTGGGATACTATGTTAGGAATGGTGGGAGTTGGAGTCCAAAACACCTGGAGGGAGGGCCAAAGTTGGCCCAGGCCCGACGTAGAGCCTTATAATGGACTTTGCTTGGCCCCAAAGACCCACCTCTGCTCTCCTTCCAGCTCCTGGGCCAAGTCCTCCAGGTCGTCCTGGCCGGTCACTACGGGAAGGACTTCACCCCGGCCTGCCACGCCGCCTACCAGAAGCTGGTCAACGTGGTGGCCCACGCCTTGGCCCGCAAGTACCACTGAGAAGGGGTCACCGCGGCCCCAAGGAGCAGCGGCAGCAGTGGCCATCATGATCCTTGACCCCTGCCTGTGTGTGTGTGGGAGGGGGGAGTGAAAAGCCCCCTGTCCGCATCGCTTGACCGTCCAATAAAAGCTACCCCTGAAACCTGAGAAAACACTCCCCCGCCTGGTCTTGTGCCTCCTTTCTGTCTCTTTTGGGGTCCGGTCGGAGGATGGGATGGAGGTCCAGAGAATGGGGACCCCTATGGCTGGAAAGTATGGGGGGGTACTCCCCAAATTTGGGGGTAAACAAATAGAGCAATGGATTCTCCTCGGGGAGATAGGGTAGGCCATAAATAAAGCATTATTATTATTATTATTATTATTATTATTATTATTATTATTATTCAAATCTCAATGGAGCAATGGCTTTGAATGACAGGGAGAGAGATGTGCTGGACTGTTGCATCCATCGCTCCCAAACAGTCCTGCCTGGGGATTATGGGCATTGTGGTCCATTATAAACACACACTCAAAAAGGTAAAGGTTTCCCCTTGACATGAAGTCTGATAAATTGTGCACACATATAATACTAATCATATAGTAACGTAATAAAATATAATACTACTAATAATATCATATCATAATATAATATACTAATAATAATATAATATAATAATAATATCATAATATAATAATCCTTAATATCATAATATAAAAAGGCTTCCCCTTGACATGAAGTCTGATAAATTGTATATACATATAATACTAATAATATAGTAATGTAATAAAATATAATACTAATAATAATATATCTGTGGACTGGACTGACCTTGAAGGAGCTGGGGGTGGTGACGGCCGACAGGGAGCTCTGGCGTGGGCTGGTCC